CTTATCAAATTAATTCCATTCTTATAGATTTGTGTGGAGACGACAGAGTGAACCAATCCTCTGTAGGAGGGAACCGTTGGAGCGCGTTGGTGAGTGAATGAGATTAAATTCAGTAAATTATTAAATTCAAAAAGCTAATTACAGCAACCGAGGTGACAGCAGTGGGCTGCTAGACGTTAGATCCCAGGAGTTAACATCTCAAACTACCAGTTAACGGTGGTAGGGCATATAGGAGTTAACGGCTCAAACCGCCAGTTAACGGCGGTACGGCATATGGGATTCCCAGGAGTTAACGGCTCAAACCGCCAGTTAACGGTGGTACGGCCTAGATGTACAAGGTCCTCAGGGGCGTTATAGCTAACGCCATAGAATTAGCAATGCGTCCCTTAACCAAACATTTAATAATAAAAAAAAATAGATAAATAAAAATAAATAAAAGCTAACTGATTAGGGAGGAATTATTTTACAAAGGTGGACCAAAGGACCAGAATTTATATTTTGTTTAATTTTGTTATAGAAAATTTTATTTATTTATTTATTTATTTGTTTGTTTATTTATTTATTTATTTATTTATTGTGTTACAGATATACAAGGTGTCACAATGCTGTATAGAAACACAACTAAATGTATCCTTGTTGTCATGAATGTATTTCTTGTCGAATAGTGTAGAGTAATAGAATCTAACTGAGCCTATTGAGCTGAACAATTGTTGTCATATGTAATTATATTTCCAGAGCTACTGAGAATTATTTTAATAGACAATCAAATTGATGTTATGTTAGTTGAACTGTGAACCCAAACATGATTGGCTATGCCAATAGAGTGAAGCATTTGTTTAAGTCTGTAAGACTTTATGCTGTGATGTGACGAGAAGGGTCGATGCCAACTTGCTAACAGTCCTGTTGTTTACAGGCTGGGTTTTTTTTTTTTTCCTTGGGTTTGATCCCGACTCCTATGATCACTCACTTGGAACGAGAACTGGATTTCTTCCTGACGAGGGAGATGGCGAGCCTTAACCACTGAACGAACCAGGACATCTCAAGTAACTGAAGAGCAGACTGCTCTCTTCTGTGAACAATCTCAACGGTGTGGTAGGAAAAAATCGCACCACCGGACTCTGACTTTCACCCCAAGCGTGGGGATTTGACTTGACGCCGGCTGACTTGTGACTCATATGATCAAATCTCATACCGACCAATTTACTATTGTCGATTGTTTTCATCTGTTTTTGTGTGTTATCTTTATGTGTTATATTTCCCATTATTATTAAAATTTAGTATATAAACCGTTTCATGCTATACCCGTGACTCCAGTCATTCTTAAACAACCTCCAATTCTCCCCGAACCTAATTATTGGCCCATTTGTTTATTTTTTCTTTTAATTATCTTATTGTATCCTGTAATCCGGTTACAACTAGTATGATTTTTTTCCGTGAATAAAATAAATATGTCAGGCAGGAGCGTCTCAGGATCTGTCTGAGATCTGTCTCGGTGAGACAGATAATAGCAATCCAAAGTGCTTTTTATGTGTAATCTGACAAGTGATCAACCTTTGCTTAAAAATTAAATACAGCTTAGCCGGTTAATTGCTGTGATCATAAAACACGTAAACGGCAGCACACAGAAATCACGAGGCAATGTTTTACGTGACGTTTACTTGTTGCTATGAGTAATAAGACAGAAAAAGCCACGCCAAAATAAGTGTAGGAAGCCCAGTAAGAATCATAATAAAAGTATTTAAAATAAACACCATACACAGTTGAGGAAACGTTGGGTTAAGTACCTGATATGAAGTGGTCGCTGCATAAGCGAAAACCTTTACTCTCGGGATTCCACAGCTTCATTTTAGCCCGGTCACTAGCGCGTTTTATTACAATGATCCAACGTTTGCGGCGCTCCGGATCTTGGGGAATCCTGTAGATGGCTCATTCCTTATGTCGTCCGCGTCTGTTCTGCATCCTGGGGCACAACAGGAATCTACCATATTTCCCGTTTGAGTTTTCTGACAATAACAAATAGTCCAGCTGCGGGCTTCTGCATGCCAATATGGCGCCGTTTCGATTTCAACTGTTGCATGTCGGGAGAGGTGACGTCAACTCCCGGAGCTCTATTGGCTGTGGAGTGGCACTTCACATACTGGGTAAAAGTGGGGAGGGTGGAGGAGAGTGAAGCGTGAATAAAATCCCTGCTGATGAGAATGAGCACATCTGGATGGGTCATCTGCAGCTTCTCCACTGAACTTTGGAGCCGCTCACATGCAACGACTACTGGGGGGGAAAGGGGGGCGGGGTACATTAAAGGTGTACACATGTAAAAAGTCTCTCAGGATGTAATAGGGCCGGAGACCAACAGCCAGTAACTCAATGTCTTTTGTGCAGAGTTGTTGTTTAATGGTCCTCAGTGTGTTGTAAGTACAAGGACACACACACCCTATGTGAGTCTGCTGCTACTGGAGTGTGTGATAGTGCAGCCCTGGGCATCACTGCTTTTATCCACTGTAGGAGGGTCTCTTGTGATGTCAGTCAGGCGCGGCATTAGGCCTGGCTACTTGCGCTCAAGCCCCTAATGTTTTATGAAACGCCCCAGATCTAAAATGTGGAAGTAACATGCAGTACCAAAGTCCATCATAGAGGGAGCAGCTGGCAGTAGTTTGTATACAGCCTGCCTGAGCCTCCACCACTGAAGAAGCCCTTCAGCAGCCGGCTTCTTCTACAGTGTCTGCCTGAAACGCATGTGTGAAGATGGACATAAGGACGTTTTTTTAGACCAAAAGTACCCCGACAGAACCCCAGCTTTGAGGATACTGGTGTTGACTCAGGTTTGTGAGTCTTATTTGAAAATATTTGTGATTTGTAATATATATGATGTTGACTAGTGCGTGTCACGTGTGTGTGTGTGTGTGTGTGCGTGTGTGTGTGTGTGTGTGTGTGTGTGTGTGTGTGTGTGTGTGTGTGTGTGTGTGTGTGTGTGTGTGTGTGTGTGTGTGTGTGTGTGTGTGTGTGTGTGTGTGTGCCCCAGATCTTCTTCAGTCCTAAATCCGCCCCAATGTCAGTATTTATCATATTGCATTACAGGGTTGTGTTGCTAATGGTTCGGCCCGTGGGAGGCTTGATGAAACGTTTTAGTCTAATTTCCTCTATAAATGACCATAAAATGTGAAAGAGATGATTGTGGGCAACTTGCAGTAACACTTAACCCACTGGTGGCGGGGCCAGTGTTCTATCAGGGCGCCCAGGGCAGCTACATCCCACCAGCGTGTCAAGGTGTATGTGAATGACTGTGTTGTGAAGCGCCTTGGGGGGTTAAAGAGCCCTTAGATGGCGCTATACAAATACCGACCATTTACTCATTTGGTGCCTGCTAAGCCCTGGTGACTAAGTATTCGTGTAAATCCATGGAGTCGTGTTGTTTTCCCGTCCTGATTCTGGTGTGTCAACCTGCGATCATCACAACACTGAATAAACAGATAAACAAGGGCACTGATTAATGAAGACTTTCTTTGCAGTCGCTGTGAGGATGTGACGGTCACCCACAGATGATGTAAACAACGCTGTACCTCTGCTCGTCAGAGATGACTGCTGCTGTTAGCATGACCACAGCTTTCTGTTTTCACAGGAGATCGGTCCAAAATAACTTTAGGCCTCCAGACATTTGAAAGTCTTTAACTCTTCATAAATAAATAGGAAGGGAGGAAGGTCTCCTGGCAGATTTGTGGAAAGAAGCCCGGTGAATGGGCCCAGAGCTGATACGGGTTTTAATAACTTTACTTGTGTGTTCAGTACAGACGTAAAGCTCCTCCTGCCTTTACACATTACAGTGTTAGATTCTCTAGACATGCAGGCTAGGTGGTCTAGACATGCAGGTTAGGTTGTCTAGACATGCAGGTTAGGTTGTCTAGACATGCAGGCTAGGTGGTCTAGACATGCAGGTTAGGATGTCTAGACATGCAGGTTAGGTTGTCTAGACATGCAGGTTAGGTGGTCTAGACATGCAGGTTAGGTGGTCTAGACATGCAGGTTAGGTTGTCTAGACATGCAGGTTAGGTTGTCTAGACATGCAGGTTAGGTTGTCTAGACATGCAGGTTAGGTGACCTAGACATGCAGGTTAGGTTGTCTAGACATGAAGGTTAGGTTGTCTAGACATGCAGGTTAGGTGGTCTAGACATGCAGGTTAGGTTGTCTAGACATGCAGGTTAGGTTGTCTAGACATGCAGGTTAGGTGGTCTAGACATGCAGGTTAGGTTGTCTAGACATGCAGGTTAGGTTGTCTAGACATGCAGGTTAGGTGGTCTAGACATGCAGGTTAGGTTGTCTAGACATGCAGGTTAGGTGGTCTAGACATGCGGGTTAGGTTGTCTAGACATGCAGGTTAGGTAGTCTAGACATGCAGGTTAGGTTGATAGCGGTGTATTTTTGCCACACAGCCAAGTTCAGGAAAGATGTTAACAAAGATTCTGCTATAGCGCTGCTGTTTCATTTATATTTATGGTTTAAATGTTTTTCAATCTCTTTAATTGTGTGTTACTGAGTGAAGTAGCACGCACAACGGCAACAAACAATCTTGGATCCTGGGTCTTGCAGATAGCAAACAGACTTGTATTTTTGTTACATTCAGTGCGTCCTGCTCTTTTTTGCTTTTTCATCTGTTGTCATGGTAACTAAAAAAGACTGGGGATGGTTTGAATGAGAAACAATCTATTTTTCAGCAACATCTGTGTCAGGGTTGTTGCAGCTGGACAGATGATTCAGATAACTGCTATTTCCTCAGGGATTACTGCAGCTTCCTTTGCTGTAAAGTCGTCTAGACATGAAATATACATCTGGGTTGGTTCAGTCAGACATGTGCCTTTTGTTAGGGTCACATAATCTGTGTGTGTGTGTGTGTGTGTGTGTGTGTGTGTGTGTGTGTGTGTGTGTGTGTGTGTGTGTGCGTGTGTGCGTGTGTGTGTGTGTGTGCGTGCGTGCGTGCGTGCGTGCGTGCGTGCATGTGTGATATTACAAGCCACACCTTTGTCCTCTGGGCTGTATCATGTGCTGATCATCACCCCGTCTGTATTCAGAATGACCGTCTCCTCCCATCTGCCTTCTCTAAGGCGTCTCTGTCTTTGGACCTCTAACCTCATTTAAGCCCCGCAGGATGGTGCCACCAGTTTCTGCAATTGCTGCAGCTGTAATGCTGACTAATAACCATCATGCTGAACAAGTTACCAGTGAGATCAATAAGTTGAGGGAGGATTTGAAAGAATGTCCTTTGTAATCTGGCTTCATAATTCTCAGTTTTAATGGACGTCTCTGTTTTTGTTACACAACTTCCAACTGCTTCCTCAGACGTGCTGTTTGGCAGCAGAGCGAGGTTGTGTGGAGTGGTATGGAAGCGTATTGCATTCAGCCACAACAAAAAGCTGTTTCCAAATAATCAGATAACTTTTATAGAAAGAAAAGTCCCTCTGCAGTGCTAATGATGCTCTGTGGCATCATTGTCTGGCTGCTGGAGGAACTCAAACATGTCAGCTAATTTTGTCTCTGAACCATGTAGATGGGCAAGAAGGATAATTCAGGATGATCTGCAGCTGTCCAGCCATCCAAGAGGGTGGGCGTGGTTTGGAAAACTCTTCTGAATGTAGCAGGACGACCGCTTGAACCTGCCGACAGTTAGTGAGCTGATCATCAGCAGAGGGTGCTGCAGAAATTTAGAGGCTGACTTCCTTTCTCAGAGAGGTTTTCTCTGCCTGTCACCATCCATCAGTAGTTTAGCAGTGAATGAACCTTTCACCAGTATAGGTATGTCATCTCTGTCTGCTGTTGGAGAAATCTAATGAATGAACTTCTCCTAGCGGGGTGATGCTGGGTGTTCCTGCAGTCTGGTCAGTCTTCTGATGAGGAAACTCCGAGCCAACACCGGTCCAGAGCAGGGTTAGGGTTATAGGGTCCGAGCAGAGCCCGATCGCTGTGACCGGGAGCCCCGGCCTTTTGGATCGGCTCATTCACCACGGACGGAGATCAGTGGGACATTAGCTACATGCTAACCCAAAGCTAACAGAGTTTCCTGGGCGTTTTTAGCGTTACTGCGTTTTTCTTGCTAAAAATACCAGAAAAAACTTTGTTTGCGTCGGGTGAGCATGTAGTTAATGTCCCGCTTATCTCCAACCTTGGATAATGAGCCAATCAGAAGACGGGCATCCCCTCAAGTCACTTGTCCAGCCAGAAGCCCAGGGCCGGCTCTACACAATTTGGCGCCCCCCACCCCGCCACATGCACGAAGACGGAGAATGCAAGCTTGTGATTGGTCAGGATGCCGCTGTCGTCAACAGCGCCGGCTTTGCACCCTCAAGAACAAAAAGAACTGAGGATATCTAGAGGCAGACATGGAGCAGATTGAAGAATACCTCGCAGAAAAAGTGTAATCTGAACGTTTTATTCACCTGCGACCGGAGGAGTGAAAAGATGTGCAGCTAGTGTTTCATTTGCGGATGGAAATGATGGGAATGTGGGTTTAGAGGTGGCGAGCACATGAAGAGTAACCGAATACAAAAACACAATTAAACATGTTATCTCGGAGCAGATACATGACAGGATACCACAGAACAGCGCTACGCCTTCTGTTGTCCTGGCAGGGAAACACTCCCCAGGAGACGGAGATGTCTGAGGACAAATTGCCTCTGTCCATGCGTGTCTCTCCCTGGTGGAGCTGATGGAGAAGTACAAATTAGGCTTTATGGCTGATGTTTAGAAGAACAAGTCCTTTAACAGTGACACGTGCTGGATCTCAGGTATGTTTTAGTCAGTTCTACCAGGAGAAGCTCCTCTCTCCAGCAGCAGCTGTCACTGGCATCAAGGCAGCATTCCTCAGGACCACCAGCATATCAGGGTCAACTTCCTTCAGTTTCTCTCCTCCTTTTGTACATTTAAAGTCTGATGTTAACTGGTGGGAAGATGGCGGCGCCAGCAGTGGGCACGGCGACACATCTCTCAGCCTTCAGATTCTTGCTGCTTTTATGTTTTGAATGTGTTTTTGGCGTCTTTTCATAGTGTTTCTGGCCTTGTTTATGATCGCCAGACACTTTTTGAAATCAAGGAATCCCATGGGCTTTTTTGGAATGATTTTTTATTGGGAGGATGCTCATCAAACCTTTCTCCTCCACCTGTCATCTCAGCCGCTCCCGCCTCTCCTCATTCGGTCACAGGCTCTCTCTGGCGGAGGTCTCGGAAAAGAGGACGGCATTCAGGTGTGCTTGTCAGGATTAGAGCTTATCAGCGGTCATGCGGAGGATTGTCTGGAGAATTAAGCCATCGATGGATCCAACCGTTCTTCCTAGTAGACCAGGAATCACCATCGTATCAGATGACTGGAGCTTTTTGGCCAAGGAAGCCGCAACACGGGAGACGCGGCGTGATCTTTTGGAATCTCCGCTCCTTTCCCAGATTCCAAGCAGATGCAAAAGGTTCTGCAATTAAGATGTGCCAGCTCAATTCCAGATGCCTGGTAAATACAACTTTTATTCTAAATGACTTTTTTTAAAACAAATCAGCTGGGAATCATGTTCTTGTGTGAAACGTGGATCCAGGGAGAGTCTGTGCCATTTTTTGAACTTATTCCTCCAAAATGCTAATATTTGAATACCCCTCGGACTTCTGGGAGGGGTGGAGGATTGGCTACAGTCTACAGGAATTATTTTCATTGTCGTAAACTACCTCAACCTGGTACCTTCCTTACTTTTGAACTCCAACTCTTTGAGCTTCGACTGTCTCCGACAGTGCTTTGTGCCCTTATCTACCGCCTTCCCAAAATGAGCAATAACTTCATTAGAGAGTTCTCTGATTTTGTAGCCGGAGTCGCTCTCGAGTATGATATGTTTTTGGTTGTTGGTAATTTCAATATTCATTTATGTTGTGAGGCCAAATCATTCGTTGAGGAGTTTTTAAAAGATTGTCGACTCATTTAACCTAGTTCCCCCAAAAAAGCAAAAAACTGCACATTCCAGGGTGGCCTTTTATTGTGGGCAGTATAAGGTACACCTGTGCACTACTCATGATGTTGGATCAACATCTTGATGTGGCACACCTGTGAGGTGGGATGGATTATCTCAGCAAAGCAGAAGTGCTCACTATCACACATTTAGACTGATTTGTGAACAATGTTTGAGAGAAATGGTAATATTGTGTATCTGGAATGAATTTTAGATCTTTAAGTCCATCTCATGAAAAATCGGAGCAGAAACAAAGGTGTTGCATTTATATTTTTGTAGAGTGTAGATGATTTATTGTCAACCTACACTCCTGCCAGGAATTTGCATTCGGGCTTTTTATTGTCAGTTCCAAAATCTTGCCTAAAGACGACAGGAGATAGGGCATTTTCTGTGGCCGGCCCTACGCTCTGGAGCAGCCTTCCTCTGCAAATCAGGACCTCTCAAAATCTGGATGTATTTAAGTCCTTGCATAAAACACATTTCTTCAACCTGGCTTTTATGTTGGATGATTTTATTGTTCTCATTGTCATTCTTTCTCATTTTTATTGATTTTATAATTGTGATATAATGTTGTTTTTATCCTAACTTCTGATTTTAATGGTTTTATGGTTTTTAGTTATACTTTCTTGTGATTTTATCTTGTGTGATGTACAGCACTTTGGGTTGCGAAAGCAATATTAAGTGTGCTTTAGAAATAAACGTGGCCTTGACCTTCTGTGGACTAACTCTACCTTCATCTTAGCAGACAGGTGAGGTCAGTCAGCAGGTCTAAGGAAGCCTTGAGAGACTCGTCATGAACTTCAGGATGTGTTGATGGGTGTGGGTGTCTTCAGGCTGCTGAGGTGATGCCGCCTGTCCCTTCAGCTGGAAGCTAATCAAACACACGTGCAAACATAGATATTAATCATCAGTGAGGTCACACAGTGATGTAGAAATGACAGGACATCAGGTATTAAACACACCTGGAGGTTGGAGGTTCTGAAGTGTTGCACCCTGTCCAGCAAATTGCACCGCAGGCACTAATATGCATATTAATTGGCAGCTAATTAATGATTTATTTGTGTTCCCTAAACTAAAGTGTTACCAAAAAGGCTCATGAAATATGAATGTGAAGTAACTGGGTAGGTAGGTTTTAACGTTGCTAGTCTGCAAAGCAGTAGCGGTTTTAGGCACGGGCAGACAGGGCAGTTGCCCGGGGCGGCATTTTTTCATGACACAAAAGGGGCGCACAAGCGCTGAGTAAAAAAATAAACAAGAAAGAAATCTGCGCCGCACCGAAGTTTTCTATTATCGGTCATATATCACAGTGTGGATTGGAAACAGCAAGTTGGCGCCCCCTGCAGCTGCAGGCGCTCCTGCTGACTGAGAGGGTTCACGTCCACCGTGTGTGTATGAAGAAGAGGAAGGGGAGGGGTGCGGCGGGGGAATTCACCTCTGGGTCTTTCCCAAATGAAATGAGCGGGTAGGGGCTGAATCACCTGTATTAACATGGCTAAAGTCAATCAAATCTTGATGTTCTTCCATTTAACGCACATTTCATTCATAATATCATAAACACAGGCCTATCATTCTTTCAGGTTTTTTCTGAATTGCGTGACATGACCGAATAAAAAAAGGAGAAACAAAACGATTTTGTGGTCACCCCCCCCATCAAGGTAAAATTGTTTAGTCCTGACTAAAGGAAACTTATTGAGTCAAGAGCCAAACAGAAGAGATGAACATAAAAAGGCTAAAACCAGCAGGTGCCCGATTCAGGAAAAAAAAAAAGAGAAAAAAGAGGAGAAAGATAAAGGTATGTACGCTCTCATGATGCATGGTTTCAGTTTTTTGAACCAGTTAACTGGGATTTTAACGGTTAAATTCGGTCAACTAATTGCTAACAGAGCTAATAGGGCTGAAATATTGAAACGAATATTCAAATGGTTCAAAAAAGTTCCTTGAATACTGATTCAAACTAGGATTTGTTAAATGCTCGCTGCAGCCTGTGGCCTGCCTGAACAACAACAAACACATGTTGATCAAGTTCACATAATAATAAATAAAACAACTGTACAAGCAGAAGAAAACTGCCCAGTCACCACTAACTATCCTGTTTATTTATTGCAGATGGCTGCACTGATTATTTTTTACATGATTTGTTCTGTAAAAGTTGGCATTTTTGGTAGTCTACAGTTTTTTATGTCAGTTTAAATTACAATTTCAGAGGCAATTCTAAAATATTATGGATCATGATAAAGATCTATTGGAGATCTACCCCAACTTTTGGACTGCTCTGCCAGTCACTGTGGCTCAAGCTGAGAGGAGCTTTTCAAAACTTGATCAAGTCATACCTGAGGTCACCTATGTTTCAGGGGCGGCTCACTAACCTGGCTCTGATTAGTATCAATCACTCAGTAGGGGAGCAGATTTCACATGATGACATTATTGATGACGTTGCATCAAGGTTAGGTTTTAATTTTAGGTTTTTTTTCTGTTCTAAGTGCAATGCTGTAGTGATTATCTTTAGTTTGTTATGTGTGAAATATTTTTGCTATTTAGAATATTTATTATATATTATGTTCATATATTCTTAATATTTAGTTATTGTTTGTTTTTGTATGTTTGATTCTATATATTTTGATACAGTATATAATGTATGTTGCTTTACATTCTGACAACTTCATAGTAATTAATGTAAATATGTGCAACTTTGAAAAATGAATGTTCAATAGTCGTTCTAATAAAACATGCCTGTTTGTAGAAAACATGTGTGTGTGCGTGCAGGTGGTGTGGTGGTCATGGTGGGGGGTGGGGGGTCGGGGTGGGGGGCTCAAAGGGGGCCTCGCCCGGGGAGTAATTCCATGTAGAACCGCCACTGCTGCAAAGCCTGTCTCCAGAGGGTTAAACAGAAGAGTAACAAAATAATTCGCCTGCCTCAGACTTGTCATGAGTGTAAACTAGATCTACTAAACTAAAATGTGTTTCTGTGAGCAGGCTGTAAACATGTTTATTTCTGCTGTGAAGGTGGCATTTTTAACATTTGCTCACTTCTGACTACAGCCCCTAGTGGATGAGGGTGGAACTGCAATTTTAGCCACTTCCTTGTTGGATATCCAGAACCAAATAATGGGGCTTGATTACAGCGCATGCTTATCTGACAACACACGCTGTCAGATAAGCATACATTTTTACGTTGTGTGACACTTTGATGTTTACCCATCAGATCATCATACACTTTAGAACAACCATATGATGCTCCGATGGGCGGTTTTACCACTCAGATCAAAAGTAGCCACTTACCAAATGTTACACATGCAGATTCAAAGATGCATTATAGGTACTGGAAAGGTGAAATCTAAGCCCCCCACCCCTTATACGCTACAGCTTATAAGCTTGACTCTCCCATATTCCAGTCAGAATTGAGAAAGCTCCTCGGATGAGAAGCGAAACGTCTTCAAGAAACCAAAGAAGTCCAATTGCTTTCATTTGAACAATTTGGATTACCGTGACCTGGATGACAGAGAACCTGGATCAGGTCTCTGCTTTTTATGTTTATGTATTTAGCAGACGCTTTTGTCCAAAGCGACTTACAAGTGATAATCAGCATGTTGCCCTTGAGGCTAACAATAACAACAACAACTTGACATCAATCATGGAGAGGAGGGAAAAAAGGAGTGGACAGCAGAGAGGGGGGGATGGGTGCAGGGAGGGTGCTAGTTTAGAAGATGCTCTCTGAAGAGCAGGGTCTTCAGGAGTTTCTTGAAAATTGAAAAGGAAGCCGCTGTTCTGGTAGTGCTTGGAAGGTCATTCCACATTTGTGGAACGATGCATGAGAAGAGTCTGGATTGTCCTGAGCGTGGTGTAGGCACTGCTAGCCGACGATCCTGTGATGACCGGAGCGGCCGAGCCGAGACGTAAGGCTTTTCTAGAGGATTCAGGTAGATGGGAGCCGTACCATCTCGGACTTTGTATGCTAGTGTTAGCAATTTGAATTTGATGCGTGCTGCTAGCGGTAGCCAGTGGAGCTCAATGAACAGAGGGGTGATGTGTGCTCTTTTTGGCTGATTGAAGACCAGACGAGCCGCTGCGTTCTGGACCATTTGAACAGGTCTCACAGTACAGGCTGGAAGACCAGTTAGAAGGGCATTGCAGGAATTGAGGCAGGAGATTACAGTAGATTGCACCAGGAGCTGGGTGGCATGTTGTGTTAGGTATGGTCTGATCTTTCATATGTTATGCAGCGCAAAGCGGCATGAATGAGCAACAGATGCAGGTGATGTGGTCCTGTTAGCTTCATCGGACCACTGGGATGAGATTCAGCTCATCTAAATCCGAGACCATGGTCTTGAGTCGTAAAAGGGTAGAATGCCTTCTCTGGGTCAGGGATGAGGTCCTGCCCCAAGTGGAGGAGTTTACCTCATTGACTGCCAGTGTTTTTGAGCATTTTTATTGTTTTTTGAAGAGTCACAGAACACTGTGCTCTAGGAACATGTAAACACTGAAACTATCAAAAGAAAGAGTAGAATCACTTTTTACATCAGGAAGAATCAGTGTTTCTAGCTTTTTCCGTTCTTTCACAGTTTGTTGTCGAAGTGTGAGCAGCAGAAGCCTTATTGGTTAGCGCCTCTCCAGGGATCAAATACGATCTTCTAATTCATGGATTTCTTGCTTCCTGATCACGTGACGTGTGACACAGACACAGGTGAAGATCATCTTTAGAGAAGTGGTGTTTACTCTCATGGTGCGAGGGCTCGTTCACAAGCCCACCCCGGTAAAAAATGCAATTGACGACTTAAGTGAGTCACAAGGCGAAGCTCTTGATTTACCGGTCAATGTACGTTCCTACCCTCACCTGTGGTCATGAGCTTTGGGTGGTGACCGAAAGAACGAGATCGCGGATGCAAGGGACCAAAATGAGTTTTCTCCGCAGAGTGGCTGGGCTCTCCCTTAAAGATAGGGTGAGAAGCTCAATCATCCGGGAGGGGCTCGGTCTAGATCCGCTGCTCCTTCACATTGAGAGGAGCCAGTTGAGGTGGATCGGGCATCTGGTCAGGAGGCCTTCTGGACGCCTCCCTGGTGAAGTTTTCTAGGCACGTCCAACCGGGAGGAGACCTAAAGATAGACCCAGGACACGTCGGACGGACTATGTCTCGCACCTGGCCAGGGAACACCTTGGGATTTCCCCAGAGGAGCTTGTCCAAGTGGCTGGGGAGAGGGAAGTCTGGGCCTCCCTGCTCAAGCTGCTGCCCCTGTGACCCGACTCCGGATAAGTGGATGACAATGGATGGATGGTTTCAAGGAAAGTTGGGAGAGATGCCTCGATATGTCAATCATTTATTATTATTTATGCTATCTATACATAACAATTTATGTTATAAAATTCAGTTTGCACCTTGTCACAAGCTGTCCAACTCATGATGCAGTTTATGAATGACGCAAAGTTGAGAAAAAACAAATGCAGTGATATTTATCTCCATGTCATCTGACCAATGCTGCTGTTTCCTTTTGTTTTCTTATAAGAAGACAAAATTCGACCCCAGAGCAGAATCTCAGACACAAATGTTGCATCCTAATTGGTATTCTGAACAAGAGGTCCATGCCCGAGGAAGCCTGGTCTTTGTTAAACGTTTATGCACAAGTTTCCTGTGTCAGTAGCGTTAGAAAACAGAAATGTTTGAGTGGAAAACCAAAGCAGTGCAGATTTCCCACAGGGCACACTCAGGAGCAACAACAACAATCTTATGGTGGGTATGGGTTTCATTAGGTTCTCTAAATGTCCATCATAGATGTTTATGGTCATCAGATAAATATGCACACACCTAGAGATAAAGGGTTTCTTAGCAACAGCCCTCTGAGTCCCTTTGTCTTGGCCATAAGCTAGCACATCCTTCT